GTAAAAAAAAATCGGGGCTAGTTTCCACAAAATTTCTCGAAATTTTCTATCAATTTTGAAACATGTTGATGACTTCATGTAAAGTACCTCCAAAAATCACCAATCAATGTTTCAAACTCAGATGAACCTCCGATAACTTTCAATTGATAAGACAATATGAATTTTAGAAAATCTGTTGAATGGTTTAGGGAGCATAGCTTTACCACAGACGGACCAGAGACGTTTTATCCACTTTTTTCTTTTGCCCGGAATCCAATAATTCATCCAATAACAGTTTTATGTCGAAAACTCCCGTTCGTCCCCGCCGCCCCAATTACAATACTCCTTTTCTCAAGTACAGTGCGAGAAAGTTAAAATGAGGGTATCCTGGGTATCTGTTGCACAATAAACTGTTCAACGACTTGTGAGAAGGACTTTGCTCTCAACTTTTACTAACACTTTTAACGCCGAAGAAAAAAACATAGTTCCGATCCGAATATGTTATCTCAATCGTTGAATTGTTTCGAATTTCCTCTTCACATTTCAATATTACGAGGCCAGTGTTTCGGTAGTCTTTACTTTCAGAAGAAAAAATATTTTTTAGTAGAATGATCCCGAATTCACCCGTAAAAATATGTTGTTTGCTTTAGGTGTTAAAAGATTCGTTAAACACGTAGTCGCCGATGTCAGAGAAAAGGTGATGTGGAAGGCACAAATGACATTAGTGTTTTGGTTTACTCGTACCTTCGCTTGCGGTCATTGCACGCTGTCGTTGCAGAGAAAGAACAAATCACAAAAAATGGATTCACTGATCAAAAACCGCTCACTTTATTACATAACTCTCAATTCTGAACATGTTATACTGGCTTATTGTGTAAAATGACTAACATTTCACGCTCAGAGATGAAATGGCACGAAGTTGTTATGTTTTGGTCTGTTTTTGTTGTTTTTTCGGTGCGTAATTGAATAGATTTTATGACACTCGCTATACTTGTTTAGCGCACAACAGTGACACTTGGTGCCAACTTCCTGATTACAAAAATTAATGATATGTTACAAATACTTTCACGTACTTTTCACTCCCTAAGTAAAAATCATTCATATAATGAAGAAACTACACTTTTTTCGCCGACACTTCATCCACAATATTATTGATTCACATTCTATCGGTGATGTTCTCTCAAAATATTAAATATCCGTACTCCAACATCGACAAAAACTCCCACAATGAACCACACATGCCAAAAAAGTTTACTTAACAGCCGCAAAGTTTGGATCAGTGAATCAAAATGTCTACCTTCTAGAGATTATACGAGCTATGTCAACGATAATCTACAGAATAACAAAAAACTACATTTTTAATGTACGAAAGTTGTGAAACCTAAATTTGAAGACTGCCAAAAAGTAGAACTGTTATAATTTCATTAAATGAGCCACTTATTAAAGAAATATGTTTTCTACAATTAAAGAAATCATTAAACTTATTATCTCTTGTCTCAGCCTTTCTTCCCACAATTCAAATCAGGACGAATTCTTAACGCTTGAAACTTGCTTGTTCATCTAGTTACAATGTACAACATTTTTTTTATCAAACTCCTCCCTCATTCAAAATTTCAAACCTTTGGCCCGCGTATTCCCGTGGTGGCGCGTATCAGAGGTGTTGTCCCGACGAGACCGCGATACCACACGTAGCTGATCGTCCCCGAAGCCGCCCGCCCGCCGCTCGGCCTCTGCGAATCCCCGGGGATCTTTATAGACCTTTCCGCGCCTGCCAGAGGCGATCATAATGTGACCTGGGATCGCTCACTCCATCCGTGCAGCCGTGCCTCTCGCAACACGGGGATCGCCTGAGAATCGTTCAGGAAACTTTTGGCTAAATTCGAATACGTGGGAAAGACAGGCTGAAATGCGCAGAAAACAGCGGGCTTTCTTGATTTACAAGGAAAGCCAACAAAACTTTAATTTCTTTTCAAGTGTTCAAATTATAAATTAGACTTTATTAATTTTAAGTTCTCGTTACTACAATATTTGTAAGAAGTTTTACCAAATTACAAAATTAACTTACATTTTTTATCTTAAAAACAACATACACTGACAATTATAAAAGTTACTCTCCTTATCAACTGAAATCAACTGAGGAACTGAAAATAGCTCATTATAATACTGATTTATTATAAGATCTATATAGGAGCAAATGAAATTAATTCATTCTAATGCGCCGAATTGAAACTGAATGGAAAAAAAACGAAGACGGGTCGAGAACTTTTCTTTCACGTTTGCTAAAACTATTCCTTAAAATACTTTCAGAGTTTCAAGACTACTTTTATTTTTTAGAACTGGGAAGAGATTAAAATCGGGATTCAATATGAGTATAATCAAAAAAACGATGCGCAAAAACCTGTCTTAGCCTAAATGAAGAACGATAAATTATTTCAAGTTAATTATAAGAATTTTTTCAAACTCCGAAAGTATTTGATCCTCTTGGCAATGATCTTATTAGTTTAGAAGCCACTAGTATTAA